TGGGGAATTCTGGGAGTTGAAGTCCACTCATCTTAAAGTGGCCAAGTTTGGACACCACTGCCGTACAGGAACAGATTGGGATGACTGGCATATTTTCAGTATGTTGCTAAGCTTGGCTGTGTTTATACAACCCACTGAGATTAAATTTAATCATATCTTACTGCTGCAGTTCCCAAACTGCATCACAGCAACCCAGTGAACTCTCAGGGGTACCAGAGTTTATTTTACTACTTAATAAACAGGATTGTCCTAACTGTTCCTGGGGTGCTACAGTGCAGAGTTTGGGAATGGACTAGCACCACGAAAAAATTACTGAGATACTAAGGACACTGTCAACCAAGAAAGCTTAAGAACCTCTGGCTTACTAAATCAATCCACTTGTTCAGCTTTGTCCAGGACCCACTAAGCTAAAATATGTTTGGCTGGTTTGTGGTTCAATATGTTGTATACAATTACAGTATATACAATTACATTTACAAAATACATTTGAAATTTTTGAAGTATGTTGTATGAGTGCCCAACAATCATTTATTTTGATTTCTATGACCAAATTCCTAAATGTATTATTTAAATAAATTCTAACTTGAAATCAGAGTATTATACTAGTCTTTCACAACATGAGAACTATGTGAGTTAAAGTCCAACACATATGGAGATAACCAAGTTAGGAAAATTTGTGCCAACCAAAGCACAACCATAGCAAGTGTACTGTACTGTGTTTTCATTCGTTTATGCTTCTCTACTTTTTGGATTAGCTTTTCTTAGAACATTTTAACCATGGTTAGTGGAAAACCATATATCTTATTAAAGTAAGAATCAAATACTTTATAATTTAAGTCCCATTCAAGCAATACATTAATATGTAGATCTCAAGTTGGGCTGTGTAGCACTTCACATTTAATTCCAAAAATGCCAATTCAAGATAAAACAAAACAGAATTTTAATATTAAGAGCACCAAGAACTTGGAGGTATAGCAGGGGAAGTCTGATCTATAAATAACATTTTTGGAGAGATTACTCTTATATAGTTTATAAGAACTGAAGTTGTACTAACATGCCTGTTATCTTAGTATTTAGGAATATAAACACATATAAACAACTGGAATGAATTAGCCTGGAATGCTGTAATACACTTCAGTTGAAGTTTTATTTTTGAAAAGGGGGGGGGGATTCTGCTCATTATATCTGTTTTGTTAGATTATGTTGAAAATGACATATTTGTAACGTACTGTGAATTTTAGAGACGTAATCAATGTTAATTTAGATTTTATTCTTGCATTTAATTTACATTTTAAAAGTAGCTAAATTGGGAATTTCATCTGAGTATTCCTGAAAAACTGTAAAAAAAGAACAAATTGTATTTCTTCACACGATATACAGATATTACACAATATACATAATATACATAATGTGTATTATATATACCATGCATTACATAATATACACAATATACATTGTGACTGAAGTGTTGTTTTCTGTATTCTCTTCAAAAGTTTGGCACAACAGTACATTCAAAAGTACAATGTAAGAAAAAGAATCCCCACAGCCGGAATATGCAGATATACCAGGTTGCTTCTATTAGGATTGGTTTCTTCCTAGAAATGCTGCTCTTTGCAATTATTACATCTTCTAGAACAGCTTTCAGTGCAATCCGAGGTGCTGCAGCCAAGAGATACAGAGGAAGAGCGCAATGTCTCATGAGAGCAGAAATTATTTCTAATTGCACATAGGGCTTCTTTCGTATATCAGGCACAGAATGCAGGAAGAATCAATAAAATCTACCCCATCTGAATTTTAAAAAGCCCCTAATTATTCCTTCTAAAATAGCATTTTCCACCCAAACTTTATATTGGAATTAATGAAACTCTCAACAGCATTAAAAATAAGAAACAGATTACATTTCTGAGGTACAAACCACCACCCACTGAATAAAGATAAAAATTCCGAATGATTTACCTGTGCTTATTGCACACTTAGAAAATACCAACTTATACGATTTACTTTGTCATTACTTGACACAAATATCTTGATTTAAACATAAATATAAAAGTCAAATGTTTTATATATACTATTTCTATAGCATTTAATTTTTATGGCTTCTAAAATTTTGTTTATTCACAGATATGGCAGTGCAAGTGTTCAGATTATAAAACTGCACACAAATTGTATATACATATATACATACACACAAATATATACATTCATATTAAGTAACATTAAGACTGAAACTTATGGACTATATATTTTATGTTCATGTCATAGACATAATACATATACATAGTCCAAAGTGATATAAACAGAGGAATACATGAATTCTTATACAAAAGAATGACCAAACTATTGCATAAGATTATTAGCATGTGTTATCTATGAATACCTGAATGCTATGTATGACCAACCATGAACCTTTCTTAAACATTTGAACAATATGGACTTGCTGGGTCTGCTTTCTTAACCCCTTTAATATGAATATAAAGCTACAGACTATTCACATTTACTTGGAAGTAAGCTCTATCAGAATAAATTACAACTTGCTTCCAAATTTTTGTAGGGCTGTATGTGTTCATCCATCAAATTACTGTTTCCATTTCAAAAGCCAACATTAGATATGCTAATAATGCAAGTTAGGAGCCACATCCATATAAATGATACTGTTGTAAAGTCAGCAGAGAAGCATCCTCAATATTGAAAACAAGCAGCAACGTTTTCTAAATTCTGCTCCACAGTAGGAATGTAAGAACCATATTTGTTGTAAAAAAGAACAAAGTAAGCCTACCCTGATTTTTAAAAAATGTATTCATCCAATTCAGATATTATGTTATCATGTAGAAAAGGGCAACCTTCCCAATGTCAAATGGATTTTTAAAAAAATACAGTTTTAATTACTAAATTTGCTCAATTAAGTTATTGGGGGAAGTTAAGTGCACTTTACAAGACTGCTTCTCCTTATACAATAGTGTAGTCTTCCTGCTCACTTTCTTAGACACTTGATCATCCAGTCTGATCCATATTTGTTAAGAATCTGGGGCCCAAAAGTCATGGATCTGCCCCTATAATAAAAGATTGTCAAAGGAATTAGATGGAAAAATATACACATTTTAAAATGGATTTGAAATACTAAATTAATTAGTGGAAAATTATTGACATATCAACACAGTTTTAAAATCAATTTAATTGGTACATCAATCAATTATTTAATTAACTCTCAGGCTCACACATTATTTTCTGTGTTCACTTGTCAACTTTTGGAAACCAAGTTTTGGCTCTGATATGCAAAATACAGAAGGAGAGAAAAAGTGTCATAACTAACAGAAGATAATTTATGCTTCATTCAGTTTCTTTAGAAGTCACCAATCAATCCAAGTCTATCCTTCACTAGGTCCTGATCAATCAGTTTTTAACTGGTTCAATCTCCCCAAGCTGCATGACTTCCAGAATGAAACAAAACACGTAACATGGCACAAAAATTTTACCCATGCATGGGAATGTTTAAAAATTAAAGTGAAAAACATACATATATTCTATCCTCTTATTAGAATATATTTTCATCCCTATTCCAGAAGATTGAACAGGCACACAAATATCCTTAGCTTTAATAAAACAGACAAACAGGTGGCCCTAAACTATCTGTAACATAGTTCATGTTTTCTCTTTTGCTTTTATTAATTGAATTAAAAACAAAGAAAAATAGACAATTTGATCTACTGTACTTCTTTGAGTATACTTGGAAGATCAAACATTCACGCATCCCCAGTGCTGGATTTAGGCATAAGCTAAACAAGCTACAGTTTAGGGCCTCACAATTTGCAGGGCCTCACAAAATTTCAGATTTTTGGGGCGGGGGGGGGCTTTTAGAATTTTATGTGGCTTTTTATGCGTACTGTAGTTTTTAAAATCTTGTGTAGCAATTTTTTATGTGTAGTTTTAAAATGGCTTCATATGTAATTAATTTAAGTAATATTTTAAGCCCAATTTTTCTATGTTTTCCAGTTTACAATGAAAAGAACATTTGAGAGCAGATACAAGAAAAAAAAAGTATTTTCCACTTTAAATACCTTGTTATTAAATCATTAAAAGGCATATATGTGTTTTCAGTATTTTTGTGGCGACCCAAGGTCCTGTTTTGGTATGCGTCTTTGTGAGACCTTCTGATGTAACTTTTTAACAAGAAGCCTCCAAGCTTTATATAGCTTTTGGTGAGGCCCCAAGCTATATAAAGCTTGGAGGCCCCTTGTTAAAAATCCGGCACTGCACATCCCTTTACTCCATTCCCCAGCTATTTTATTTCTATTTCTACTCCTTCCAGTTAACGTGCACAACGTATTCTTTCCAGAAAATTTTATTTCTGTGCCAGCTTTATAAACTGACAATATGTAATATTTTATATGAACATTTACTATAATTGCACCATACCTGAATAAGCTGAGAATGGTGTATCATTTGCTGCCATTTGCTGTACATTCTAGCAACTAAGTCTTTTACCTAGAGACAGAAAGTTAGAAACTGGTTGGAAGCTGAAGGGATGATTATTGCTGCAGGCCTACATTACTTTGGAGTATATTTTAGGAATACAAGAGGACTTTCTTTGGAAGAAATGAGGACAGAATTTTACTGCAGAATTAAAGACTGAGATTATTCCAAAGAAGTAGGGCCTAGGACAAGTCTCACGCACGTGACTCTAAGCGAAGTAGCACTTAACACAGTAAACAGAATATGACTGGCATTATGAACTACAGGTATTCCTTTACCTATGACCATTCGTTCAGTAACTGTTCAAAGTTACAACAGCGCTGAACAAATGGTGCTTATGACCAGAATTCTGGCTGTCCCAGCACCCCTGCAGTCACGTGACCATGATCTGGGTGCTTGGCAACCAGTTCGTACTTACGATCAGTTGCAGTGCCCCACAATCAAATGATCTCCATTTGTTACCTAGGCTAGCAGGGAAGGTTGCAAGTTGCTGGGGTAAGTCTCCCTTACCCATGCACCCTCCCCCAGCCCCTCTGTGCTTGCGCTGCACCAGCCACTTGTGCATCCTCCCTGACCCACACCACACCTCTCGCGCACCCCCTCGCACCCTTGCACCCCCTCCCTGAACCTGCGCCTCTTGTGCACCCTGACCCCCTCTCACACCCTCGTGCACCTTCCCCCGTGCACCCTCTTACCTGCCAGCTGGCCTGGGACTTGCAGCTTCCTGCTGGCTTCCCCACTGACTTTGGTTGTGGGGAGCCAGCAGGAAGTTGCCTCACCTAACAACTCTGGGATTCGGTTAACATCAGCAACCAGGACTGCAGGGATTGCTGATGCTAAGCGATGCAGTCGCGCTTCACGACCATATCTCTTAGTGATGGAAATTCCGGTCCCAATTGCTTTCATCAGTTGAGGATACCTGTACTTTGTGAAATTAAGAGTTGCTTTTAATTGTCTGGACACATATCTGTTAAATGCCCTTTCCATCAATATTAGAGATCAGAAATGGAACCAACAACAAAATGTTTTAATATGAAGTTCTATTTTTCTCAGTTGGCTGAAACAGACAGAAGGAGGAACAAAAATTTTTTTGCAAACTGGTCTTCTGTTCAGATTTTAAATACTTAAATCTATTTATTTATTTAAAAGATTTGCATAGCCATTCATCTTATATAGCATAACCCTGGGAAGCTCACAAGCAATAATAAAACAGTAAAAACAGTAAAAAAATATATAAAACCAACTCAAAAAACCTCCAGGTGGCCCCAAACACAGCACATCCCCACACATCTTGTTTAATACATCTTATGTACTGTTTACTTTCTGTATATTGACTGAAGCCAGACGTGACACCTGAGAAAGAAATGAAGTTTCCTACTTGTTGATATCCAGATCTTCCATCGCTACATGTGCTATTTTTTTTGTTAGATTTTTACATCTACTACCATTCCTAAGAAAGTAGGAACTGGTAGAAAGGATTCAGAATCCAGCATTAAATACCATAAAAGAATTTGTATGCCTTGATCAAGGTAAGCTGTTATTGTAGAGAGAAATTTTAAAATACAAAAGAGGATCTTCAAATAATGCATCTTCTGGGGTGAGAAAAGGAAAGGCAAACTCACCTTAGTTCTGTAAAACAGTCTGACATCTTCCCTAATATCACACTTTACATGTTTTTCCAGGGTGCTACAGAGTTTCAACAGCCATTTCTAAAAGAACATTAAAAGTTTAGTTCAATTATTTCAAACAATTGTTGCTACAGTTTATAAGTGTAAATTATATTAATATTTCTTCTGAAACTTGTTAAGTTGCAATGTATTTTACATCTGACTTTTTAGTGCTTTGTAATGTGATCATGTCATAGATGATTACAAATTATTTAGGAATTTCTATTCTGCCTTTCCACTTACAAGTAGTCCTCGCCTTATGACCACAATTGGGACTGGAACTTTCATCACTAAGCAATGCGGTTGTTAGCGAGTTGTGCCTGATTTTACTACCTTTTTGCCACAGTCATTAAGTGAATCAACATGGTCGTTAAGCAAATCATGAGGCCATTATGTGAATCCAGCTTCCCCCATTGACTTTGCTTGTTGGAAGCCCCCTGGGAAGGTTGCAAATGGCAATCATATGACCCTGGGATGCTGTAACCGTCGTAAATACATGCTGGTTGCCAAACGCCCAAATTTTGATCATGTTATCACAGGGACACTGTGACAGTCATAAGTGCGAGGACCAGTTGTAAGTCACTTTTTTCAGCACCATTATAACTTCAAATGGTCATTAAACAAATGGTCATAAGTCAAGGACTACCTGTATAAAAATCCTCAACCCTAAATGGCTTAGAGGTTGGCTCTGTAAAGGACTGCCTATCTCAATATGAATCAGACTGGACATTACAGTTAAGTTCTCCTATATTATTCACAAACTGGGATATACTACCTTTGGAATTATGATCCCACCTTTCTACTTTACAAAAGGAGTCAAGAATTTCTGCTACAGTAGGCCTTTTCAGTTTGAGCTAGTATATTGTGGTGTTAACTATGATATTTAACTTTTTCATCACCATGCAGGCAAAAATACATTGAAATAATAATGATAAATACTAATACTAAATAATTTCCTGCCAAATTATTTGCAGGATTCAAGCCACAGAAAAGATTTTAGTTTTTATTTTTATTTATTTATACATCACATTTATATAGCCGCCCATCTCACAAAGCGACTCTGGGCAGTGTACAATTAAAATAACAAGTGAATAAAAACAGGTATTATAAAAAGATAAAAAGTTATTAGAATAAAAACATCACAAATTTTAAAAAAGATTTTAAAAAAGATTTTAAAATATACAAACTCCACAGAGAGAGCAGAATATCAATTACATCTAAGAATGTCTCCGGTTCCCAAAGACCTCCAGGCCTGATGAGGGACTACCTAAATGATAGCAGGGAAGGGGTGAGCCTCATTTCAGAGGGGAGAATGTTCCACAAGGAGGGAGCCACGGCAGAGAAGGTCCGCCTCCTGGGACCCACCAAGGGCAAGTCCCTGGCCGATGGAATGCATAGCATACCTTTCCTGCCAGATCTAATGGGGCAGGCTGATGTGATCGGGGAGAGGCGGTTCCCTCAGATAACCCACCCCATGCCACGTACAGTTTTAAAGGTCAAGACCAGCACCTTGAATTGGACTTGGAAGCAAACCAGCAGCTCATGCAACTTGCAAAACAGAGGTGTAATGTGCGCTCTTCTAGGAACACACATAACAACCCATGCTGCTGCATTCTGCACCAGTTAAAGCTTCCAGATACTCTTCAAGGGCAGCCCCATGTAGAGCTCATTACAGTAGTCCAATCTGGAGGTGACTAGGGCATGAGTGACTGTGAGCAAAGCCTCCTGATCCAGGAAAGGGCGCAACAGGCGCACAACACGAAGTTGTACGAAGGCCCTCCTAGCCATGACTCCCACCTGCTCTTTGAGCAGGAGTTGCAAGTCTAGGAGGATCCCTAAATTGCGCACTGGGTCTGTCTGGGGCAGTGCCATCCCATCCAGCACCAAAGATGGTATAGTCCCAGAACCAGCAGGACCCCGAACCCAAAGCCACTCAGTCTTGGATCATCTCTCCAAAAGCTTCTACCTAAAAACTGAAATCAAGCAGACCTGGAGAAAGGCCAAATAACAAAGTTCTGAAAAACACATGAGAGAGATACAATACAATATATGGGAGCATCTAAGAGGCACTTTTTTCTGAATTGTTAAAGCAGCCATATCATTTGCAAGGCTCCCATAACTGCATTAGAAATTGTGGAGTCCTTGGTGCTCTCTGAGCTTGATTGTTTGCTTGCAGACATTTCATTACCTAACTAGGTAACATCATCAGTGCTAGTGAGTGTGGGGTGCATTTGTATGCAGTGCATTTGTACTTGTTTGAATACAAACACACTGCAACAACCTAGAACACCAGAAAAAGGAAACAGACCACCTATACAACATATTCCAATAAAATGGATACCCACACAACTTTATCAAAAACGCCTGACCACTCAACCCACTACAGCACAACCAACACATGCTATGAAAAGGATAACACTGCCATACATCAAAAACATCTCAGAAACAAACAACAGACTATTACAAACACATGGCATCACCATAGCACACAAACTAACTAAAGCCCTCCAAAACATCTTAAGTAAACCAAAAGTAGCCCAAGAAAAAAAACAGGAGTCATCTACAACATACAGTGTAAGGACTGTAATAGCCACTATGTAGGACAGACAGGCAGAAGACTATCAGAGCATATCCATGAACACCAAA